CTTTGGTCTTCCTGGGATTATACAACCACACTTTGTCTCCTGGTACAAAGCTGACTTCAGTAGACTTCTTATCATAAGTTAACTTCATCGAATCAGCGGACGTTTTTTCAAGTTTGAACACACTTGATGGTGAATATCATCCATCCTTTCTGATAAAACTTTCACGAACTCTGAGAGATTCTCAGGCAACTCTTCATAAGGTGGGCGTCCTGTTATCAGATCCACTGGCAACCGAAATTCCCGACCAAACATCAATTTTGCTAAAGTGTATCCAGTGGCTTCATGCTTTGCTGTTCTATAGGCCATCAACAGTGGAGGAAGTAAGACATCCCAGTTATCTTGGCGGCTATTACAAAATTTTGCTAATTCCTGTCCAAGTGTCCAATTGTACTTTTATACCATCCCATCAGACTGTGGGTTGAGTGGCGTTGTCCTGGTTTTTCGTATGCCAAACAACTTGCAGCTGATTCAAAGTTACGGCCCTGATCTCAATGCAGTTCGTATGGCATACCAAATCTGTAGAAGAAATCACTAATACCCAAAGCTACAGTTGTAGCTTCATGATTTGGTATTGTATATGCCTCAGGCCACTTGGTGAAATAATCCATCACCACACAAATGTACTTGTTTCCAGCACGAGTTTGGGGCAGAGGACCAGCAATGTCGACGGCTACTCTTTCCATTGGTGTGCCAAATTGATATAGCTTCATTGGAGCACGTCCCTTATGCTTGGGTCCCCTTTTAGCACAACATGTACTGCAAGTCTGCACCATTCTTCCACATCTTGCCTCATACCTATCCAGTAAAATCTCTGTCGTAGGTGACTCAATGTCTTCTAAACTCCGAGATGTCCTCCTGTTAAACTATCATGGGATTGATGCAGCACAACTTCCCGTAACTTTCCCGGTATAACCGTTTGCCAGGTCGCCACTTTCCCATCTCCGGAGAAGAATTTCATCTTCAAGCTTCAACTGGTCCCTTTGTCACAGGGCTTAAGCTAGACATCTTCTCCCAAGCAGAGCGCAAAACACTCGCTTTTATAAAATCAATCATTGGCTTCAAATCTTGGTCTTTCTCCTGCTCTGCTTTAATATCTATACCTGGTTCCACTTCACCATCATTAACTTCTTCAGTCACTTTGAGTTCAGCTTGATGGCACCTGGTTAGTTCAACCTCTCTTTTGCAGCAATGTCTGCAGTTATTTTGCAGGGTCTTCGGCTCAGTCCATCGGCACTTCCATGAGATTTTCCTTCTCTATATTCAATATTATAATGATACTGGTCTATCTTTCCAACCCAACATGCCAGTTGTCCCTCTGGGTTCTTTAATTATCTTAACCAGCGTAATGCAGCATGGTCTGTCCTGTTGGTAAACCTAGCCCCATAGAGGTAAGGATGG